TCTTCGTTTTGTTTGGACTGCATTTATGAACTTGTATAATTTCATTATAATTCCTTGTGTCACTGCTGACTAGCCATTTATTCTACTTGGACTTCAAGAGGCATTCTAACTGCATCAGTAATGTCGGGAAAATGCTTCTTTTATTATAGAAGAAAGTATTTAGGTAGTTTTGTTTTCAAATTAATCATCTCTTTTGGCAATATGGTACATAATGAATATTTTAATTCCAAACTTTGTTTCCTCTCATTTTTTTTGACTTCTAGTTTGTACAACAGACATTGATCTATCAATAAAAAGTAAACAAAGAACTATGGAATGCTGGTAATCAGAAATAAAAGCAGAAATTGCTGGAAAATCTCAGGTCTGGCAGCATCTGTGGAGAGAAAGCAGAGTTAAAGTTTTGGGTCAGTGTGCCTTCTTCAGAACTGCTTGTAGCTAGGAAAATGTTGGTATATTTGCTGAAGATGGGATGGGCGAGAGGTGAGGAGTAAATGATATGGGGCAATGGAGAGAGAAAAACAATGGGACAGACAAAGAAATTGGTAAAAGTCAGCCTGGAAAAATGGAAAAATGCTAATGGGCACCATTAATAGTTGACAGTGGGTTGGTTCTGATAACAGCCGATGTGGTGACAAGGCCTGGCATGTAGGGGTTGGGGTAAGGACATGGGAGAAGGTGCTCACATCCTAAACTTACTGAACTCAATATTGAGTCCTGCAGGCTGCAGGGTCCCCAAGCCAAAGATGAGATGCTGCTGTTCTAACTTGTGCTGAGCTTCGCTGGGTCACTACAGCAAGCCTGAGATAGAGGTGTTGGCCAGGGACAACAGTAGTGTGTTGAAGTGGCAGAACACAGAAAGCTCATGGTCATTTCTGCGGACAGAATGTAGCTGTTCCACAAAGCTATCTCCCAGACTGCATTCCGTCTTGTCAATGTAACGGAGATCACATTGTAAGCATCAAGTACTGTAGATTATATTGAGTAAAGTGCCTGGAAGGCGTGTTTGGGGCCTTGGATAGTGAGGAGGGAGGAAGTAAACGGGCAGGTGTTACACTTTCTGCGAAGGTGCCATGGGGGTGTGGGGAGGTGTTGGGAACGGAGGAGCAGTGAACCAAGGTGTCCTGCAGGGAACTGTTCCTGTGAAAGGCTGACGAGGGAGGGGAGGGGATGGGAATGCGTGTCTGGTGTCGATGGTGCTTCCCCCGTCCCATCATCAGAAAAATATATCAATCTTTTCTGAGGTACAATTAGGTTTGAAGCAGGGTCACAGGACCCAAAACATTCACTCTGCTTACTCCCCACAGATGCTGTCAGAACTGCTGAGTTTTCCCAGCAATTTCTGCTCTTGTTTCTGATCAGCTGTTAATATTTCAATAAACCATCTCACACACAATCCTAAGAATTTGCAGCACCAGATACAAATTGGAAGTGCCCAAATTGGGGAAGATTCTGTGCTGTGTGTTTAATTTTATTTAGCTTCAGACACCTCTTGATCCTTATTCAGTGTGGGTAATATTTCAGGAATTTCCTATAGTTCAATTTGATTGTATGTCCATAACTGGTATTAGGTGCTCTGTAGAGGCATTGCAAAGTGTTTACGATGTCTGGTTGAAATGTGCGCTTTATCCCATAAAATCCAAAGCTTGTACCTGTAGTCCCCATCTCAAAGTTGTGAATCTTCCAAAGGATTAGCAGTTCAGTAACTTCCTGTGCATTGTATTCAATTCTTTTGATAGCTATCATTCCAAAGACCAGATGTGATTCAGTCCAACTTAAATTATCCAGCTTTGTTGTAGACCTTACCTTTTCAACTAGATAAAGTTGAGTTGTTTTTTTTAATTTATATTCTTAAGTCCATGTTTTACAGATGTACTGACTGAATGGGCCAGTACCCACAAGAAAAAGGCATTAAAATACAGTGTGTATAAGATGAGGGAAAAATATTCATGTACATGTTTACATACTTTACATTGAAAATATGATTTTTATAACTGAAGTTACTAGCTTCCAGCTGTCCAATATCTTTTGATCCACTTAGAATACCATGCAACTTTAATCTGTGGCAAGATGTCTAAGATGGCACTATCAAATAGGAGTGTTAGAAGGAATTAGCAAATAATAAAGATTTAAAACTCTAACAGAACCTCACCATTGGATCAAACCTCTGGTACCTGACATCTCCCACCCTCATCACCTGACCCCTCCCCATGGGCTGTCAGGCTTGACTATCCTTCCTATTTCCTCCGTTTCCTCCATGCTAACTCGGACACTTGCACCTAGGTACGGTATAGCCCTCGGTACTCGACATTGAGTTTAACAATTTCAGAGCGTGAGCATCTTCCTCCATGTTCACTACCCACCCCCAAGGTCCAGCTCTTAGTGGTTGCTTGCAGCGCAGCCAACTCATTTTCCACTATTCACAGTTCCCATTAGCATCCCTTCTGCAATTACTTCTTCCCCAGCTTCCTATCAGGAATCCCTTTCTCTGCTTCTTTCTTCTCTCTCTCTGGGCACTGTCTCTATTTATTCATTTCATTCCTTCCCACTCCCCAGTCATCATCATAAATACCCTGCTGCTTTCAGTTCTGACAAAGGGCCACTGGACTCAAAACATTAACTCCGCCTTACTATTTATAAATGCTGCCAGACCTGCTGAAATTCTCCAGCAATGTGTTTTTATTTCAGATCTCCAGCATCTGCTATTCTTTGTTTATTCCCACCTTGTTTATATGTTTTGTTATTTTTTAGGCAGATCTTTGAATTCCAGAGTCATCCTTTGAGGACGCCGGATAAATTTACAAGTCTCAAGCAATGAGTTAGGCATGAGAGAAATACTTTTCATCATAGCATAGGAACAAGAAAACATAGAAATTAGCAGCAGAAGGTTGTCACTCAGTCCTTCGAGCCTGCTCCATCATTCAGAAGGACCACAGTTGAACTCATGAACCAATGAAATTCGAGTCCAACTGAAATCTTTGGCTAAGAGTGTGATTAAAATTTGTTGAGAAGACAATCCACAAAGATGGATTAGCAATGTATGGTTTTATTTTTCAGCAAGTTAGGAAGGAAATTATAATTATTTCTAGTAGGGATCAACATGTAGAGTAGAAGGCAACGAAGACATTATGACTAATGAAAGATATCAGTCATTGGTCTGATGAAGGGTCTAGGCCTGAAATGTCAACTCTCCTAGTCCTCTGATGCTGCCTGACCTGCTGTGTTCTTCCAGCTCCACACTGTTTAACAGGATCACCTATTACTTACAGCTAAGTGCTGTTAGTTTATACCAGTTGTTGCTTCTATTCTACAAATATTTGTATTTTCATTTTTGACATGCAGAGGTCGCTATATTGGTCACAAACCAATGTTGAGAGAGTGGAATCCCTTTTGGATCTGGAATAGAGCACTGTTTGTATGCAGGGCCAATAAAGATAATGCATACAACTAATAGTACCCTGCACATTGGGGAAATCTACAATGGTAGATTCTGGCAAAGCTGAGAGTTCACTCTAGCAAGTGTGAATGAAATACATTTAGCTTTCATGGTCATCTAGTGACTTTTCTCATGGAACTTTAGATGGAAAGCTACAAGATGCTGCAAACGTCTCCAGTTCCAAGTTGGAAAACTAGATGATTGAAAGTTTTTGCCACTGACATCTTCACAGCCATTGACAATGCAATGTTGCTACCATAGGTGGCAGATTTCATTGCAGACACCTTTACTGAAGTGTTGACATCTTACGCATTCTTCCCTGAGGTTCAGCTGTGAGAATTGTTCCCTGAGCATCTTGGGTAGATATGACTTCTGCCGGAGTCTTCATCTCCTGCTCTTTTCTCATCTAGCAGCCTGTCCTTGCTCTGTGTGCCCTCTACTTTTCTCTAAGAAATACAGCTTTCCAAGGGAAATGCTGATCTGCATGTGAGTCATTGATTTGGGTAGAAGCCTTGATGTCAGCAAAATGTCATCTAATGTCTGCCGCAACACCGCGCCCTGTCAATTTTTGCAAGTCGAAACAAAAATGAAAATACAAATATTTGTAGAATAGAAGCAACAACTGGTATAAACTAACAACACTTAGCTGTAAGTAATAGGTGACCCTGTTAAACAGTGTTCATGCAAAGGGGGTCCTTTCTGCTGTAGAAAATTTGTTGAATGGTGTGAGACCAACAAAGCATTTTTTGGAGTGTTGACGTACAAACTTACATCATAAGAATTAAATCAACATTGCATGCAGATTGGCATCATGCTCTGCCAGATGCATAATTCTGGCACATTTTAAAATCTTGACAAAATGGTGTGCATCAGAATTTCCCCCATAAGTGACCCACAGGTGGCAGATGCCATTGTGGTGTGCCCAGTTTATGGAGAGGAAGCAGAATTAGGCTATTGAGTTGGACAATCAGCCATGATCAGGAAGAATGGCGGAGC